AGCTTCCTTGTGTACCAATAAAGTTTTATGAATACAGAAATTTTAATATCATATTAAAGTGGCAATAAACATGACTACGTATGATTTTGTTCAAACATTTAGAATTGTAAAATCCTTAGTTCACATTCAGTGCCAAAATAACATTAGGCTAAATGTTGGGAGAGAGTTTGTGAACTTTGTTGACTCCTGAACACACCCACTTTGAAAACACAGAAGCCAACAGGAACACGTTGCGGGAAAGGTTTGGCTTAGTGTCTCTAAATTTAGAGCATTGTAAGGAAACAACATAATCTGCATATAAATTTTTTTGTCTTTTTTTTATTTTCCAGTTTAAATTTAGATAAGAAACAAGGTTGCTTCACAAGTCAGTTCCAGGTCCCTCTCCCTTTCCCTCCCCTCCTCCTGTGCCCTCCCCCCAACCCCCCCCGTTATCCCCTCATTCCTCCAGGGAAGGTAAGGCCCTCCATGGGGGTGTCCATAGTCTGTCAATTCATATAAGGCAGGGCCTAGACCCTTCCCCAAGAGTTCAGGGTGAGAGTGCACCTCACATTGTTTTGGTACTGTATCAGTTATATTCTTACCTTCTGTGGTGGTTTCAATGAGATTGACAACTGTAGTTTCATATATTTCAATGCTTAGTCTCCAATTGGTGGAACTTTTTTGGAAGTACTAGAATATGTAGTCTTATTGGGGGAAGTGTGGACTCAAAACTATTCCAATTTGTTGATGTTTTCTCTTACTCATGTTTATTGTCTCAACATGCAAACTCTCAATTACTGTCATACAAACACACAGACATATAGATATAGATATAGATGCCAGTTGCATAAATGGGTGTATACATGTCATTCACAGACATTTTATTATGTATACACACACACATATGTATATATATATATATAAATGACAACTGGTGTCTTCTATTATTTGTACCAGTTCAATATTAAATTATAAATTTAATTCCAGGAAAAAGTCATTATAAGCAGATTTTAAATGCTTGAAAAACATTGAGATAGAATAAATATTTTCTAAGACAAAAAGGTTTTAGTACATCTTGAGCATAGGTGTTCAGCTTCTTAGTTTATGACTGAGAACAGAAAATTTTCAACTGTATAGTAGTGTGCACATGCCTTTAATCTAGCACTCAAGACACAGAGGCAAGCAAATCTCCCTGCTTGAGACCAGACTAGTCCACAGAATAAGTTCCAGAACAGCCAGAGCTACATAGAGGACCCCTGTCTTGAGTCTGTCTTGAAACTCAAACCCAAAATGAAAGAAAAGAAAAAATATCATGATTGGTACAAAAGAAAATATGTATGAAAATCTACAGGATATGATGCTCTACAAGTCTGCAAAGGTTTAGAATACAGACACTATGCCATTCTAAGGGTCTCAAACTTTATCTGGGAAGAGAATCTCACAGACAATTTCTCAGTCAGTGTGTACTTTATAACACTATTCAGACATATGCTAGGTTAGATGGATACAGGTGACAAAAAGCCACATATGGTGATATATTTTTTATGATTTATTAAAGCCACTGGAGCTCAAAATAGCAAAGCAGCCATAACAGTTAGCCACAGAAGCCAGGCAGTAGTAGCATGCACCTTTAATTCCAAGACTCAGGAGACAGGAGCAGATGGATCTTTCTGAGTGAAAGGCCAACCAGGCCTTCACAAGATTGAATCAGTCTAAAAGAGTAACAGAGCACACACCTTTAATCCCAGGACTCATGAGAGGTATTTAAAACTGGAATAGGGTCTCAGAGCTGGCATTCATTTTCCAGTCACATTGAGGGCATGACTGCTTTGTTCCTCTGATCTTCAGATTGAAGCTTTAACCCCTATATCTGTGTGTAGTTTTTATATTTTGTACTATAGACAAGAGCCATGCCCATAATTTTATCTGCTGTCACTGGACCAATGCAGTGTCACTGACAAAACAATAAACTCAAGCATGAAAAATTATATTGTTTGTGGATTTGAAGTTCTATTTGTTTGCTTAATATTGTATGGATGTTGACACCTGGGTAAGCACACACTGAAATCAGACACATGGAAGCTTGACAAACTGACCAAAGGATATTTTTTTCTTATTTGTCAGTATTTAACTTTTGACTCCAAAGGCTTCAGAAAGAAAAAACAAAGCACACAATACAAATGAAAAAAATACTGAAAACTACACAATACTGCAGAAGTTAGGAGTCAATATGCTATCCAATCTTGAGTACTCTGATTAACACCCATGCCCATAGGAATCCATACTATAAAAACGTCATCTTTCATAGTAATGAATGTATAACCTCCTCAACAGGACATCATTTATAACAACTAGGAAGCAATTCTTTACCTGTAAATTTGAAATCATGAATCCCTCTGTACCCTTCTGTGAGAAAGGCCCCCATAATATTTAATCTCAGAAATTCCATTAATTATGTAAGTAGCAAGTGGGATAGTTTGCTATAATTATACTACTGTGTGAATGAAATAAATTTCTGAGATGATTATTCTTCTCTAAGGACAAAATTATCTTGGGTAAGGTTCCAAGGTGTTCGGTTTTCTATATTAATTTCTCATTGTGACAGGCTAGATAGAGAACTGGTGTTGCCAAAAGAGCATGGGTACCATGTCTGAGAGGCCTTCAAACTTAACATGTTAACACAAGATTTTATGTATCTAATTTCCAAATTGAAGTTCAGGAAATTACCCAAAAATGCATCTGGTCCATCAATATAAATAACTGTGATCAAATGTGTGTTGTTATTGATCACTCACCAATATAAATATTCTGTCTTCTTAAATCCTTACAGCAATGGATTTAAAAATATTTTTCTTATATCTTACATAGAACTTTTCTTGTGAGAACCAGCTCAATTGTGTTGTCTTATTCAGCCTTGTTTTAAACATCATTATTCATCATATGATCTTCAGAAATAGTTTGTCAAATGTGCTTAATGAGGAAGGCACTACAAGTCAAGAGGTCATAAAAAAGGAGAAGAGATCTAGCTTCTCAGAATACTGAAACTACTTTAATGGCTCAGGGATTTTTTTTCCACACGCAAGTGTATTTTCTTTTGATGAAATAGTCCTACTATGTTAAGATTTGGACAAACATTTAAGTTTGATTTCAAAATACTTGTTAGCCCAACTTGCCACCATTTTTAAACACCTCTTGTTAATGTGAAAAGGGTGTCAAAGCACAACAATCTATCAAACAGACAGTAGGTTTGAAGTATCAAGTTTACTGGTGGTATGTTTGTGTGTTTTGCAGTTTCCAGACAATTGCTTACTGGTGGAGATTTAGAGAACAAGAAAGGAAGGCAGAGAAGGAAGATGGGGGGAGAGAGAAGAAAAAGAAGTGGCATACTATAAATACATGTTTGAGGAAAATCAATTTGGCTATCTTATCTCCAATGCTAGGAACATGGTGAAAGGGTGAATTATTGACCATATATTGTGTATATTATAGAGTGTGTTACAGAAAAAAATGAAACTTCTAGAAAATATTGATAGAGATATAAGAGGAGATTTGCAAGGAGTAGAGAGCCATGCAATTTTGGAGTGTAATGATGATGCTTTGTGGTATCTGAAAGCCAGAGAGGCAAGAAAAAGAGGATAGGAATTCAGTTTGGGTACTAGTATCTGAGAACCAAGAGTTCCTACGTTTGGTGGAAGTAGATGGATAATCAAGCTACAAAGGTTTCTGTGGTCTTATTGTAGAGCCATGAACAAAGATAAATTTTCTTGAGACAGGACCAATGATAGACCAGAGAAGTTGTGCCAAGCCTACCTCAGTAAATAAATCCATTAAAAGACAGATGAGAAGTTACTTACACAGGCATGGAAGAGCTGGACAACTCAATTGCTGCTAAAGTTCACTGTACATGTGAAGACTCTTGTAAACTGCATCCTTGGAGCACACTGGAAAGCAGCTTTACCACACAGCACTCATAGCAATTGATACTTCCATATGTAGCAATGAGGACAAGGCCTCATTGTCTACCTTTCCATTTCCCACTGGGAGGGAAAATAAATTTGTTCTTCTGCTGTCATATTATTTTCTATGTCTTCAAAGCAGGAGATATTGACTATGCATAATGATAAGGGTGGATCTTTTTTTCCTAAATCACATGATAACCTATTATGGAAAATTTTCATAGTAACATCTAAAAATAATTGTTTTGCCCAAATTTCTAGGTATACCTTATCCTAGCCAAATTCACATTTAAAAGTGACCAACACAGCTGGTAAGAGAATTCTGCAGACCTGTAGGGGGTTGCTGATGCATACTCCCTAAAACAAAAGAAAGATTATGAAGCATAAATGCACTTCTGTAAAAATCGTAGAGCAACCCACACATATGTGCCTAGTATTCTATTTTGATGCCATGTCTTTTAAAGAATATCTGCAGTAGGAATTGGCATAACTAGAAAAAATCATCCTGAGTGAGGATAACCAAAACCAGAAAGACAAATACAATATGTACTCCCTCATAAGTGCATACCAGATATACAGCAAAAGATACCCAACCTACAATCCATAACCCCAGAGAAACTTGAACCCACTTCCAGCAACATATGAAAGCAGATTCAGAAATCTACAACTAACCAATGGGCCAAGCTCCTAGAGTACAATCAAAGCAAGAGAAGAGCAAAAATATAAATAAAGAGCCAAGACCATGATGGGGAAACTCATAGACTCACCTGACCCAAGAGAATGAGACACCACTGACTCAGGTCTGACAAATGGGGAACCTGGATAAGTCTGAACTAGATTCCCTTAATATAGGTGGCAATGCTGTGACTGGGACAATATATGAGGCCACTGGCAGTAGGTCCAAGATCTAACACTAATGCACAAACTGACTTAGTGGAGCCCATTGTACATAGAGAGCTACCATGCCCAACCTAGACACAGGGATGTGGGGATGGAGAGGTGCCTTGGTCCTGCCTCAACTAGATAATGGGACAGATTTAGTAGACTTCCTATGCGAGAACTTACCCTCTCAGTGGAGCAGATGAGAACAGCTGGAGTGGAGGGAACAGGAGGAAAGGATGGAGGGGGAAACTGCGATTGGGCTGTAAAAAAAAAATAAATTAATAAAAAAAAGAAAAGAGAAATTTGTCTAGTGAAGGACAATAACAAAAAACAAACAAGCAAGCAAACAAACAAAAAAGGATAATGGCAGAATATACCAGAAGTGAGTGAGGCAAGAGTGTAACAGAATAAGATCCGTACTGGTAAATACCAATTTGTTCCCCAAATCTTCACAAGGAAAATGGTAAGTTTAGTCATACTAATCATACCCAGGGAGTCTGAATAAATCCTCAGGATAAAGTCACCTGACTCTACCTCACTATTCTGCCTCTCCAGAACAGCACAATGAGAAAAAAAAGGAATCAAAAGTGGATATTGAACACTGAATGTCCCTACTCTATGTGATATATCTCCATTCACAGGGCTTGCCATGGTGTAAAGAATTAGCTTCATGCAAAGAGGATAAGACACTGGAAAATATATTGAACTAAGCAAATTATGAGTACAAATATGATCTTTGAAATTAGTATTTAAGATAATTTTAGGGCTATATTTAAGAAGAGTTAACAGTCAAATTCAAAAGAAAGTATTATTTGTGTGACAAACTATAAGCAATTTATTTAATATATTGTTTATTTGATGTTTAAACAAGTCACACGCTCAAAGAGAGTTTCTTACACATCACCCATCTTTTAGAGATAATATTACACAAAATTTCTGTTCTGTTAGTGCCCTTCAGTAATAAATACCTTTTAATGATTACAGAAAGAAATCTGCCAGTGAATTGTAATGTTTGCTCAAGTCCCATCTGTGTCTTCCCTCTTATCAGATACTTTAGCTTCCTAGACTGGTTCATTCTCTCAGACATCAGAATTCACTTATAACTGAGACACAGCCATCTCAACATCAGTGCTGTGAGTAAGATACTGAAAGCGGCAATACATAGTCTCATTGTTCAAGCATGCACAACCAAGTGGAAAATGTTCTGCTAAATATAAAATGAGATTCATGGGAAAATATGACATATTAAAATATTCCTTAATTTTCTCTTGTTCAATGGGTGAAAAATAGACAAATATTTCTACAAACACCTATTGCTACTGTTCATGGTGGCATATTTGTAATAGCTTGGGCTACAAAATAAGTTCCAAATCATGGGCTATAGAATGAGTACCAATTTCCAGAAACAACAAGCAAAATTCTGTTGCACACTATTGTCACCTTAATTTAACTGTAGTTATCTTGATTCCAATATCTTTCTTCTTATCTACTGTGGATGGACCCCACTCCCCTACACACACACACATACACAGATTTAGCTCAGTTTCTCACCTATGGTTGAAGGAAAACAAAGAAATCTAAGAAAGGTAGGAAGGCTAATGGGATGGCTCAGTCATTAAGAGCAATTGCTGGTGTTGCAGAGGATCTGGGTTTGTTTCCAAGCAGTCACATGGTGGTTCAGGACCATCCATAACACATGTTCCAGGAGATCCAGTGACCTCCTCTGACCTTCTTGGGCAAAAGACATGCATGTGGGACAAGTGTATATATATATAGTCCAAACACTCACACGCATGAGAGAAAATTAATAAATATAAATCCAATTTTTTAAAACGAGGTAGGCTGGAGGCTCTTCTTTCACGTTCATGTGCATTATGCACTTCGTAATATCTAGGATCCATTCCTTAAAGCCCCTACCAGCTGAAAACTGAGATTTCAGTTCATGGTCATCTGAGAAACAGTCACCATCCAAAGCATAGTGTGAAACTTTTGTCCAAAATTTAATCTAAAATACTGTTGATTAATTCTTAGATCAAAACTTAAAACTCAATTATAGACATGTCGTACTTAAGAGCTCTAATGTCACGTTCCTTATCCAATTTTTAACTGACAAAAAAAAACTGAACAGTGGGTTCGTATAATGAACACTTTTGAAAATATGGAAAATCTCAACATTATACATTTCTTAGAATATTGACCAAATATTTATTGGACATCAATTATCTGTTGTACACAATTTTTCAAAGATCATGAGTGGTAAAGGAAGAAGAAAGGCATTATCTTTCCTTGGGGAACTTCTATTCTCATGAAGAAATGATAATAGTTGATAACTTAAAGCATTAAAACCATAAGGAAAGTGTAAATTATACATTTAATGATCAATTAAAAAGTTATGTACATCGTGAGTTTTTGAAGTCCAAAAGCAACAACGACTTTCAACTATGAGTTAACCACTTTGATGGATATGAAAAATAATTGAGAAGCACAGACCTGAGCTTGTATGTACATATGCTACTCCATTTGAAACCAAAGGAAAGTTTTAACAATGGCATGAAGGCCTTGAGAAGTCAACTCTCTCTGCAGGCTCAGTGATAGAAGTTGAAACACTGAAGTGCTGGCAGGCATTCCTGTAATACAATTTCTTTGACTTCTCTCTGAAAAAGGAAAATCTCTCTCTTTTTCTAGGCATTTCATGTAGCACGTTAATTCAGCATTAATTATAGAACATGTCAAACTGTATTTCAGTCAAAGCTCCCTGTAAGTCTCCTGGGCTTTCTTAATGACAGTAATTATAGGTCATAAAAAGAGTCGTCTAAAATTAACATTTCTCTCATGTCTTGATAGGAAAATGTAAATGGCTGAACAGTACAGATGTTTTGACTAGTAAATTTACACTTCCTTTTTAGCTTCAATGCTTGTCAAACTTCAGTGTTAAACTCCAGGGGCTGCTTCTCTCCTCTCAGGGCATGTGGAAAGGTGCTTGCACATATTCTCTGTATACTTTACTTTGCTGTTTATGGTGAAATCAAAGAGTAAATCTAGGGTTTCCTCTCTACTCAGCACACAAATTCTTTTCTAGGATGAGCAGAGGAAGTATTCAGACTTAGACAACGTGCATGGGAAAGTTGAGATAAATAATCACTGGTGATCATTGATGAGGATGATATATTAGGGTGTGAAAAAGCAGCATGCCAGGTTCCATGCATAGCTAAGTCTCCTAGCAAGCCATGTTTTATCATATACTATCAGAAAGAAAACACATAAAACCTGCTGTCAAAATTTACTTACTAGAAAATGAGAGTGGAAACATTCTGCTTTAAACAATGTTAATATCATCAAACATCCAGGGAAATATAGCAAATTAAAAGAGAATCACTTCAAAGAATAAAAGGCCTACACCTTAAGTAATAATAAATCTAATACTTGACATTCATCTCCCTAGAAAATAAAATTAGATAAACTTTTGCAAGGGCATTCAGAACAGCCAATCCAGTTTATTAATAATTTCCTGTTTTCATATTGGAAGCTCATATTATCTGGCCTCAGCCACAGTAGACCTCCACAGATATTTAATAAAGCTGCCGTCCGTAATCCTCTCTGATTACCTATAACCTTCCAGCTATAACACACACTGTGCCACAGCTCCACAGAAGGACAGCACACTGTCACCTGCTATGATGTTTGACAGCTTATTCTGTAACATCGTGCCTGCACAAAATTACTTTTTCCAAATTCATCCCTAGTTAATAATGAAAAGCAATAATGGTATTCAGCATGCGTAATATTCGAAGAAGGCAAAATGAGGCAATGGAGGGAAAAAGATTAGAGAATAACTATTATGGAAGGAAGATCAAAAATGGAATCTTGTAACACACAACAGCACTTCAATTATAATGCCATGGCAAGAGTTCTTCATATCACTCTACAAAACCTGTACCGCAGAGCCAACCTGGGAGAGATTTCACATTGTATTTACTCTAGATAGGTGATTTCTCCAGTTCATAGAGGATAACCTTTGAATAGTATATTTTTTAAATTATTCTTGGGGACTCTCTTAGGACACAGAAACAGGTAACTTTCATGGAAATGTCTAGTTATTAGAAACACATTCCTTTTCTCTTAGCTTATGGTTTGCAATAAGGTATTGTTCAGACTAAACTTTACCCAAATTCAAAAGTGCACCAAATCAAATTTAATAGTTTTTAAAATATGAAACGCCAATTTAAAAAACTCAACCCTGGGATTAGAAATAGATGTTTATTCAACTTGGGCAGCACTAAGTGTATTACATTTGTCTTCATTAAAAACAGGGAGTGACCTTGGTGGAAGATGTTACTTTCTCTTTCCTCCCTTCCTCTCCCTTTTCTTTTCCCCTCTCCTCCCTTCTGTTCCTGCCCCTTAGTAATCTTTCCCTCTTCATATTCCTTTGTTCTGTCTTTGTATGTCTTTTTCCCCTTCCCTTTCATTTATTTTAATACTTCAAACTTTCTCTGACAGTCTTTATGAACTTTCCATTTTAGGAAGATAAAACTAACTTTGTGATAAACTTATCTTCTTTAATGGACACGGCTAAAAGAAACAGTTTAATCAAGTTAGGTGATTTTATCAATTTCACAATATAATGTGTCCATGTGTCTTATGTTTACCCACACTAAAGATGCTCCACAGGTGGTGTGTTTTGCATTGCCTACTGGATATGACAAGAATACGTAACAAACTGGAACTTTAATTCTGCTCCCCTGTAATCTTTATGTCTGATGTAGTACTAACTTCCTCTTAGGACTTTATGACAAAAATGGAAGTGAGACATTTTACAATTCTGTTTGTGTTCTGTTCACATCCCATGCTTCACAACGTTTTAATATTTTAGATTTTTTATCTCGGTAACTGAGCTTGGCTATGCTTGTACTTCTTACAAACACAGCTTGCTCTTGCTTTCCTCTAGCCTAAAAAGATAATCCAAACAGAGCAGTGTATCAGAATTTGAACAACAAGTAGTTTCTTCCCTTGCTAATCTGCAATTGCTTCCAATTGATATTAAAATTAGCTTGAAATTCTTATTGAGGTGAGAAGTGTATAATTTACACAGCCTACCTCAGATATTTGTAATTCCCATGTTGCTCAGTACACTGATTTGTGACATTCCTTCTTGTTCTCAGGCTTTTATACATAGCTATCCATAGCAAATTAGCCCCAAAACACTTCACCAGTTTTTCTCCTCCTTACCATGCCTCACTCAGTTTATGTGCCCTTAGTTTGT